TCCTTTAGTCTACTTCTGACCTCCTGCATGCTTGACCATCTCACTCGCCTAGTTACGTGGAGAATCCTCTCAGAGAATGTGCTTGGATAGGCTTGCTGTTTTCGGGGTTAAATTGCGATTTGGTGGAGACTTCGGCCGACTAATTAAGAAGCAAGCGGTCAGCAAAAGGGGGGTAGACAGCGATTGTCTTGCAGTCGGCGAGGGGAGCGGCCTGGCCGACTCCTTCACCCTTCTGCTATGCCGGAAGTGGATTTGGTCTTGGTGATAGGATGGGTGGCTTTGGTCGTCGACTCCAAGTCAAGAGTCAGATGTCGGCTGATCATCTGTGTTCTCTCCTTTGCCACCCGCCGACTCGCAGGGTTCCATAGATATAGCTTCACTGATTCTCAACTTCCGGACTATGGCATCACCGTAATTCTTAACCTCTTGCTTTGGGGTCGGCACATCTATAATGCCACTTGCGCTCTGCTCCGTTGATCATAATTCGAGCGAAACAGAATTATAACTGACCGCCATTTTTGCAGAGTGAGAGATAGAGTGCTTCCATCCCGATCCCTTCGTTACCAATGTCAGCCTCGTTGCCTCGGACTGGGAGTCGGCGGGATTCATTATACTCTATGCTTGCTAAAGATATATGTATAAGGTCGGCACCTGCACAGAGTCAGTGAAAACATTCGAAACATTCAAAGCCTCTTCAGACTCGTGCCTTTGTAGAATTTTCATCTCCTGATTTAACAGATGCTGGCTTGAGCTCCTTCATTTGCTTGGTGGTGACATCTCCGTGTAGCGCTGCCACATACTCCACCGCATGTGTCTACGTACTTCTCAAATAATGGAAAACAAAATTTCCTGTGCTGCCACGAATACATTGCAACTTGCAAACCATAGTTGAGTATTTGCTTGCAAAAAATTATGCAATTTGCCATGTGTAAAGTTTCATGCATTCTGATGCAATTATTCATGAATAAAGCTGTGTATTCGGCCATGTATGGAATTGTGTGCAAGACATGAGGAGAGTAATTTCATACCCTCATAATTTTGATATTAGAAATAAATATGCCCCACTGGCTATCCCCATGCATTTCTCCAAATTTTCCCTCAAAGCTGACCACATTCTCCTATATCTCTTGTACGTACCAAAGATAATTTTCATAAAGATGTGCTCTTTGAATAGTATTTTAATACTATCACCTTAGATACAAAAACTGCTCAGCATCTCTTTTCTCTAATTTTAACACATCATAGTTTGCTTAGTGCTTAGTACTTGGCCTGTGGGGCCTGTCGGACTACCAATTAGGTCTCCCAAAACGGTACATGCACTCTTCTCACATATTTAATTGTCACGCACAGTGGGCATTTTTTTTTTTCCAAGAAATATGACAATTGTATAAAAATTTCCTTTCCCTACTTTAATTTTGGTCGCCCATATTTCTACGGCCGACTTCTTAACTTCCTTGGCCGAGTCCCTCGGTGTGGGGGACTAACCACTTTTTGGCCAACTACTTTAATTTAAATATTACATATAATTTATATGATAAGGGTTACCTCTTGTAGACCTCAACACACAGTTTTATTTGCCTGATTCTCCTCTAGTCCTCTTCTTGGTCCACGGTTCTTCGTGAACCTTCTCAATCTTCCGTCCGTAGTGCCCGGACGCTCTCCGAAATTGCTCAGATAAAGAGGTAACGCGACCTTTTGTCACGATCCCCACGGACGGCGCCAGTGATGGTTTTTGGGTTTTCGGGCCCAAGGAGGTCCAACACAACCTTAAGCTGGAGGATACACCTTTCAATAAAATATGCTAAAATAATATGGGCTCGAGGATTTTGACGTGGAAACCGAAAGGAAAACCACGGGCCTTTTTGGGCGGTGCCAAGCCTAACTCCACTCTTTATTTTGTAGGTGTCTTGGTACATACTTGTAGGGCTATTCTCTACACAAAGGGTTGTGTTTCTAATAATATAGCAATAATAATATAAAGAAGAGTGATGGAATGGTGTGGAAGAGTCCTCCCATGTGTATGGATGAGTGGTGGAGCCTTCTTGGCATATTGTGGAATGAGGCCTTCTTGGTAGCATAGTTGTGGGAGAGTGCTTATAGTCTTCAAGTGTGTAGCAAGAGTGCTTGAGAGAGTCCTCCCATGTGTGTATGAGTGAATGAATGGATCCCTCCTCCCTTTCTTCTTGTCTTCTCCTCCTTTTATAGCTAATCCCTCCCAAAAAGTGTCCGTTGGACCATTTAGTAGGGGATTTATGAGTGGTTTCAAGAGGGTAGTGAATAGGTGTTTATGTTGGGGGTTATGGATAATAATAATAATAATATAATTGACTAGTGGTAATAAGTGGGGTAATAATAGGGTAGTAAATGGGCTAACGGCTAGTTTTAGGCCGACCCTATACCCGTGCCGATTCCACACTCGCTGCCGACTCCTGGACCGAGCCGACTCCTTGGTTTGACCCGTATCTCTTTTGGGCTTGCTCCATTTTCTTCTTGGGCTTCCCTTCTTTGTCTGGGCTTTATCTCTTTTCTTCTTGGGCCCCGAGCCCACGGGGTTCACACCCCATCAACTACATTGTAATAGAGCCAGTAGCTTTCAAATAAAAAAAAAAAACAATAAACTTATATTCAACTTCATATTGTAATGTGGAGTCGGGTCCTGAATATAAATATATAATAATTAGTCAACATGTGGTGTGGTGGAAATGAACATTTCCCATTTTAAATTGGCCCAAGGTTTAGTTGGGTATTTAAACTTGGATGTAAGCTCTTGGGTTGCATTTGGCAAATTATTGTATGGACCACGGTCCACACATTGTTATGTGGACCATAACAAAATGTACATTTTTAATATATTAAATGTATATTATTTTTGTACTGAATGTGCATTATACAATATAATGTACACTCAGTATAAAAATAATGTACATTCCCTTAATACAATGTACATTATTTTTGTATTGAATGTACATTATTTTTGTACTGAATGTACATTATTTTACAATATACAAAATATGGTCCACACAATTTGTGTGGACCATAATGATTGGTTTCATTTGGTTTAAATATGACATCAATTATAATGCATAGTGCAAGCCTTGGGCTAGCTAAAGTGAATGAACATATTGAGGCATAGCCCATGACAATCAAGTCCTTGTACTTTATGTATTGGGCCATTAGGCCATATCCCTTCTCAGGATTTGTCTTTGCATACATTCTTTTATAATGAACTTAATATACATTCTTTTGCACTTGATGTTTTGAGATTGATTGCTGCGTGTTGGTGCATTTGGCGGGGGAGGAATGACCGTTTGAAATAACAAGCCATGGCATGTTGATCGTATTCGTATGGAAGCGGCTTGGCTGGTTAATGAGTGGTATGGGCTTCCTTCATCTCAAACTGCCAATGCACAAACGTTGGTGGGTCAACCTAGCAACAAACTAAGGAGTAAAACGACACCGTTTCTTACCCTGCGTGACGTCACGAGAATCAGCTGCATGCTCGGGGTGTTACACATTGGTAAGATATAATCCCGACCGACTAGGAAGCGCTTTGTCTGCCCACCGACCCTGCCCATTGCTTTGCTCCTCTGTTAATTCTTGCCGACCGATCTTTATTGCCCGACCGGCTTCCGACCGCCCCTATTTCCCGACCGCTCTAACATAGCTTCAAGATCAAGAAGGTGCTACGTGTCGGCTCCTAATGTGGACAGAAGGTTAACCTTAGCTTTGGAGCATGCCGGTTATCCGGGTGAGGATTACTACGTCACGGGGCCTATAAATACCAGTGATGGCAATGATGAGGGGACTTTTGGAAAGATAGGGGCTTTATTCAGAGCTGGCCGATCGCCTCCAGTCGGCACTCGAGTTAGGTCACTTAGTCTATATATATATATATATATATATATATATATATATATATATATATATATGTCCACGTGTATTTACACTATCACACATAATTATTAAATTAGTCAACATAACATGTCTATATCATTAATTTATAAAATATATTATATATTATATATTATATATTATATATTATATACTATATTTCTATCTCTCCTCTTCTCTATCTCTATCTCTATCCTATCTTTATATATATTAAAGCAAAAATAATTAGGGAAAAAATTTCCCCAGTCATAATCATCATAAATAATTAAATAAAGATGAAAAGAAAATCAAAGTGAATAATAAGCAAAAAGATTTTAATGGATAGGAGAGTAATTCACAAAATTAATTTGAGTAATAATTGTTAATCCATAATTGAGAATTAACAATGCAATAATTATGTTATGTTTCTAACATTAATTGATTGGAGATAAATTTAAAATTCATAATCAATATTTATATGAACATCTACACATACTTCAACACTATAAAGAAACCACAGGACCACAACCAATACTACAATTATGTTTTGGTCGTGGTTGGAATTGGGAGGATTGTTGTGGCTAGAATAGGGAGAAGATTATGGGAATCTCTTATAGAGCTTTATACCGTGCGATATGGGGAAGATAAATCAAGAAATGCACAGTAGACATGAAGAAAAAGCTGAGGATGAAAATCATACCTTGTTTCTAAACTTGGGGCTTCGATTCTTGGAGCTGTTCTTTCTTGGAAGCAGAGGCAACTGTTAGCCGTAGCTCATGAACGCGAAGAAAAAGTAGCAGCTTACATAAAATGGATGACCGCCTTCATCTTTGGCGGGAGACCAAAAAATACTTTTCTATTAAAAAATAATAATTAAAATAATAAATTTTTAATAGGATGACCGTCACGTCAGGGTAACCGGAGGAACATGCCAAATTTAATGGAATTTTATAATTTTAGACTATGAAAATAGTTATACTAATTGCGTTTTCAAAAATTATACTCTAATTGCATATTTGCAAGTAATTTGATAGCTAATTTGGATTTTTTCCAATAATAAAATGATAATAATAATCCGTAAGACGAAGTATATAACGAGATAAACTGGTTAGGTGCAATGATCACTGAAATTCTGGAAAATGAAATTCCGATGTTGACCGGTAAGATCCTGATCTGGAAAAATGTTACATCACCATAGAATATAGATCCACCAAAAAGTGGATCCTAGTCGTAGATTCAGAAACCACGGCCACTGCCACCGCCGTTAGCGCCCCCTGTACTTCGAACTGGACTCAATCTCATTTCGTTCCCGGCATTGTTTATTTGCCATTTCCGAATTAGATCCATAGAAAAGCTTCCGAGGATCCGAGGAAGCTCCCAATCCGAGATTACACAGAGGTTGCTACGATTTCCGTGAGTGATTCAACTACATTAGCTTGCATTGTCATTGCGTTTCGTTAGTTTGCTAAATTTGTTATGGATTCGTTCTGCGTTCAATTCGGATCACACTGTCATTGCACGCATATGAATTGTTATTGCCGTTCTATAATCACATTGTTCAGGACGAAATTAAGAATCTCAAGGCCAAAGCTTCCGAGAAGGTTAAGTGGACCAAAATTTTGTAATTAGTAGAAATGATGAATGGTAGGAACTGATATGTTGCTGCGTGCTCTTTTGGCAATGTAAAGAATCAGAAACTAAAACTTGAGCTTTCTTGCTTATAAAGACTGGAATAGCATAAATGATGAAGTTGTAATGCGGTTTTCTTTTGCTTTTTGTTGCTTATAACTTTGGCAGCAGAATTTAGATACTTTTATTTAGGATAATGTGCATTCATCTATAATTTTTTATTCTTTGATGTTTTACTCAATGTTGGTGGACTCAAAATTTCTATTGTGCTTTCAACATTGGCATGAGTTCAAACTGTTATTCTTTTTCTTCTTTTTTTTCATAAATTTTTAATTTGCTTTATTTATGTGGGCTTATCATTTGAACATTGTAGATTATTTCCATTATGGATTCTGGAACCACCAATCCATCTCCGCCACCCTCTAATACAGCTTCTGAAGTCGAACCTTCGGAATCCATTGTCTCTGAGAAAGATAGCCCTTCAGACAGCATAACTACACCACCCCTAGCTTCTTGGGCCATAAGTCTAAGAGCTCCACAACCTGTGCAACAAGGACAACAGAATTCAGAGACTGGGACTGTCAGTTGGCCATCCCTTTCACGCCTTGCGAGTGGATTTGGATTGCAGTTCACATCTAAACCCTCCTTAATGAATGAGAGCGCTGGAGACAACTCAGCTAATGCTCAATCAAGTGTTATTGAATCACTTACTAAAGGACTGGCTGACTCATCTATGAGTGCAGTGAAGGCTTTGCAGGTTAAGGCACGCCATATTGTCTCCCAGAATAAGAGGAGATACCAGGTTTGCAAATATACTACTTTAGTTTACTGCAAAATTTGTTTAGTCAGATTACTAGTAGATATAATTTTCTTAAGTCACTAGTAGTCATGGAGAAACGCATACCCTGACACATAGCCAGCATTTTACTGATAAGAAGTTGCTGGAAGCCATTAACATTTAACTGGCAACTCTTACTCGTGTGCTACTGTGCGTGTTTGTAAAAACTCAAAGTTATGGATAATGACTTTGGATTTACACAACAGTTATTGATTATTGGTTTAAATGAACTAGAAATTGTTGTGTAATCTATAATGCTGGTTAATATATGCTGACCATATAAAAAAGAGCTTGTTTAATTTACCTAAACCATTTACTTTCTAGTTATATTAATTGGATATTTTTTTCTTTTTTCCACATGGAGCTCATTGTGACTGCATGAGATAAAAACTGTTGATATATTGGGTGTGATGGTAATTAATGTGAGTGCTTGTACATAAATTTAGGAGGGTGGATTTGATTTGGATATGACTTATATAACTGAGAATATCATTGCTATGGGGTTTCCCGCGGGTGATATGAGCTCTGGCTTTTTCGGATATGTTGAGGTAAATCATTAAGCTTATATTTCAATGCCATTTCTCATGGTCCAAATTGTCAATTTCTTTTGGGTCTTGGAAATATGCTGCAGGGGTTCTATCGAAATCACATGGAGGAAGTGATCAAGTTTTTTGAGACGCACCATAAGGTACTTTCAAACTTAAAATTGAGATTTACCACCCCCCCCCCCCCCCCCCCCCCCCAAAAAAAAAAAAAAAAAAAAAAAAAAACTACTTAAAATTGAGGATTTCTTCCCCTCTGCCCTCCCCCCTTCTTTTTCTTTTCTCTACATCCAGAAGAAATTTGGTTTTATCTACAGCATGGTTATAGGCAATGTTTGGCAAGAGGGAAGGCAGGTAAAGTGCAGAACATTGTTAAACAAGGAATTCACAAATTGCAACCTAAACAATTGACCTCTTCTTTTAAAGGTGGTACTCACCATTTATGGGGAGGATGCATTCCACTGTTGCCTGATGGAAATGTGACTATGGAAAGTAGAATTCATGGGGAAAATTTGAGTGAAGAGTATTCAAATATTGTTATTTTATTTGCATGAAGTATAGCCTTTGTGATGGAAAACATCAAAATCTTTTACCTTTTGAGTTCAATCATTTTTTATCATTTATCTTCCAAATCTTTGTTGCATTAATTACTGGTTTCAGCCAGTCTGCTGCTTTTCTTGTTAAATGTTAAATCTATTAATTAATGCAGGGAAAGTACAAAGTTTATAATCTGTGTTCAGAGAGGTTGTACAACGCTTCACTGTTTGAGGGAAAGGTGCAAGTTACTTCTTTCATCAGAATTTATGTTATTTTACTGTCTTTGCAATCTTCCAGTCTAAGAGCATCCATAGTAGTTTAACTCCGGTGCGGTTTTTGTAAGAGTGATTAGGAAAGAGAAGATGGGAGGGGAGAGAAAAAATGAGAAAAAAAAAAAGAAGCAAAAACTGATTTAAAAATAAAAAAAATAATATGACACGCGCCTGCTGGGTGCACTCGTGACAGCCACACAAGGCTGTCACGTTTGGTTTGTTTTGATATGGGTCCCACATTTCTGCCAAGAACCGGGCTCTTGCAGATGATTCCCAACTTTCTCTTTCTTATTTATCTCTCCTCCATGTAGGCTTTATTTTTTAATTTTTTTTTTGAGAGACTCCATGTAGGCTTTATATTTCTTAAAAGTTGTGCATGATCCCCAAATTCTCCTTTGATGTAGATGCTCTAATAATTTGTTGTTGCTGAAAGTGATATTAGAGATTTTGAGTTTGTTTTTGAGTCTAATAAATTCTAACAGGAAAATTTATACTACTTTTTATGAAGTTGAATGCATTGAATAGAATTCATGGGCTTGTGCCCTAGATTCTGTGATAGAGTTGAGGTAATGTGCATCTTTCTTCTCCCGAATATGCGTGATAAAGGAGTCTGTCCGACTCAGCAAAGATATAAATTTGAATTTTAGGAGATAAGTCTGGACATCTGACTCCAACAAGTATGCTAAAAAATTGTAGGTGCAGTCACATTATTGAATATATGCTCAAAAAGGAATATTTCCTCTCTTTGAAGACATCTTTCATCTTTTCTTAAAAAGGGGCTTGCATCGAAGGAGATACATCACCTTCACAATGCATTTTCTGCAGTTAATATTGGCTTCTGTTTTGATTGATTTAACTTTAATTATGAACAGGTTGCATCTTTCCCATTTGATGACCACAACTGCCCCCCTATTCATCTTATTAAACTGTTCTGCCAAAGTGCTTACACATGGCTGAAGGAGGACATAGTCAATGTGGTAGTTGTTCACTGTAAAGCTGGTAAGGCAAGGACAGGATTAATGATTTGTAGCCTACTTCTTTTCTTGAAGGTAACAGATTAATACCATGAAATGCTTGTTTTCATTGCTATGGTTGAATTAGTTGCTTAGCTGTTTCACTTTTTTTTTTTTTTTTTTTTTTTTTTTTTGTAGTTTTTCTCAACAGCTGAGGAATGCATTGATTACTATAATCAAAAAAGATGTGTAGATAGCAAGGGTCTAATTCTTCCAAGCCAGATTGTTAGTCAATGCTTTGATAAACATTGATATAATGCTGTTTATGTGCAACTATGCTTCTGGTTGACAATTATTTGTGTTTTCTAGAGGTATGTGAAATACTTTGAGCGCATCTTGACACACTTCAATGGTGAAACGCCGTCTGGACGTAGGTACACTTTTAATAATGCATTGTCAGAACATTGTTTAAGCCTCAGTAGGGTATTTATTTCATTCATTACATGCTGCAGTTGCATGCTAAGGGGATTTCGATTACACAAGTGTCCGTACTGGATTAGGCCTTCAATTACCATATCTAATCACAATGGTATGCTATCTAGATTTACTTGCTAACTACTTAATTTGGTGTTATACTAGAAATACAAGGTTTCTTGTTTTTTGAAGAACGAAGGTGGAAAACTATGACCCACTACCAGGCTACATATATGCTCATCAAATGTACCAATAACTAGGCTACGTATATGCTCGTCGATGGTCATGATAATCTCATGTATATTTATACATACAATTTCGACAAATTGGCCTTTTCAACACATCTTATTCATGTTCAAATTCTCACAGGAGTCTTGTTCACAACTAAAAAGCACCCAAAAACCAAGGATTTGATGGTAATCTTCTATACTCTGTAGATTTCAGTATTGAAGTCCAATCCCCACCTCTCTCCTCTGCCTGCCCCATAAATGGATTATTTTAGTTGCTTGTATAAACAAAAATGCATATAGTTTTTGGTTGTATACCGAACTTACATTGGCATAATTTGATGCAGCCTGAAGATTTTTGGATTCGTGCACCAAGAAAAGGAATTGTGGTTTTTGCCCTGCCAGGGGAACCTGGCCTAACTGAGCTGGCGGGAGACTTCAAAATATATTTTCATGACCGTCATGGAGATTTTTACTGGTCTGCGAACGATATCCCTAATTCTGTTTGTCACCCATCACGTCACCAGTAACATTGCTTTATATATGAGATTGAATCATTCCATGTCATGTAAACAAGTAAAGGATATTATCTTCATGGATTTCCACTCTGCATGGCCCCAAGAACAATCCCTTCCTACCAAATTAAATCAATCCAACAAAAAGACCGTTTCTTCCTTTTTTGAAGTGTAAAAAGTTAGTTTGTTCATAGCTTGTCTGCTCTTCCCCTTTTCAGTTGGTTAAACACATCGGTGATGGAAAATAGAATTATTTTAGATGGTTCACAACTCGATGGATTTGATAAGGTAACCAATTTATTTTCTGCCAGATTATCTATGCCATGACTTAGTCATTTTGAAGATCATTTATTTCTGTAAACTGCTCTTCCTTATAAGTTTGCATCTGACCTCTGTTATCATGATCCTAGCTTATGAATGAAACATTTGCAGAGGAAATTTCCTTCTCCAGGATTTCAAGTCGAGATCGTTATGATAGATTATGATGGAACCATCCCAGCAAAGTTTAAGTCCGAGGATGCAAGCAAGAAAAGTGATGAGATGTCAGGAACCAATTCCTCAACTGATGGTACCCAAGCTAATTCTGACCAAAGTAAGGGGTCTGGAAGCCGAGATCATAATGATGATGTGTTTTCTGATAGCGAGGGAGAGGAATCGACCAAAACCAGTGCTCGCAGCTCATCTGCAGCGCCATCTGGTGGAGTTATTGAATCCAGCACTAGCGAGGAGCAAATAACCCAAGTCACATGCCAAACCGAGCAACTCACCATTGGAGGCCAGGAGCCCACAGACTTGAAGACTGATACCTCCAGTGAAATAAAAATTGATGCTGTCAAAACGACTGCCAGCATTCCCAACCTGGGATCAACTGATATTAAAGCTATAGCAGCAGATGCTTCTGTCTTCAGTTTCGGAGATGATGATGAAGATTATGAGAGTGAATGAAGCAATTAACTGCCTTGAAAGAATGAAACTCAGATAGGTTATTCATCATACAGTCTTTGTTGCCTTATCTCTTTTATTTTCTTTCTGTTTTTCACTTTTCAATTTTATTTATTTATTTTTTTCATTTATCTAAAGCTCTGATGTAAAGAAGCTCAATATTATACTCATAGACATCTTTACCTTAGAACTTTTCTCAATACATTAAACATTTCATCCACATTTTTGTGATAGTCATATTAAGCATATAATATATAAACATAAATGTATAATCCAACTATCAACTTAAGTTTTTAGTTGAGATGGAGCCAAGGCTGAAGTTTATCCTACAACTTCAAGTCACCCAAAGCATTGAGGGTCATTACAAATTGTGTATTTTTAGATTCGGGTCCACCTTGAGCCCATAGAATAATTTGACAATTTGCTGATATTGCCCGTGCAACATGATTATTATTTGTGTAGTTGGTTTGCTAGCTTTTCATTTGTGTAGTTGGTTAGTTGGTTTGCTAGTTTTTTTTTTTTTTTTTTTTTTTTTTTTTTTTTTTTTTTTTTTTTGGTACTAAAATAGTTGAGGATAACCCAACCAAATTAATCAAATTATTGATTCAATAATTATAAAGTTCTAAATTTAACTCTCAATGAAAGTAGTAACGTAATATAATTTATCAAAACGATGCACCCCAATATAAAGCCAAAATCAAATAAGATATTGAATATATTTATGACATTTATGCTAAAGAATTCTCATAGTAATGCAACAAGGCAAACTGCAATCCGGGTATAAGATATGGTGTTTAACCTATGGAAATTAAACTAAACGAAAACATCTCAAGACTTAAAGGAAAGAGCTTTGAACTAGAGCAATGCAATATAAATAACTGAAAACAGTAAATAAAGATTGTATTGTTGATGTGCCTATCACCATTTGATCCTCTGGAAAGAATTTCTACCTGCAATTCTGCAAAACACTGCCGCCATTAATGATCATATATGATATACCCACCTCCATTGCCACCACCCTCAATCACTAAAAATCCAGTCGTCTTCATTCTCAATTTCATCTGGTTCAATATCCAACTTCACTGCCAATGAAGGCCTCTTCTTCCTCAACCAATCTGCAACTTCCCCACTCACATCTCTGCAGTTCTTGATAGTAAGCTCCACCAAATTCGGACACCCCGAACCAAACGCTTCTTCAATCCCCTCATCACTCACCCTGCAGCATCCATTGATCCGCAGCTTCTTCAAAACCACGCATTTCTTGGCGATGCAACAAACTTCAGAATCCCCAATTCTCTCACTATGAGCAAGAACCAATCTTTCCAGTTTCACACAACCAGAAGCAATTGGACCCGAACGTGACAATATCGCACGAGAATTTCCTCAGCCGCGCGCCAGCGCCGCCAGCCCGACTCCGGTCACGCCGTGGCAGCGGCGGACTTTCAGGCGGGTGATGTTGCGGCAGTGAGGGGCTAAGCGGAGCAGAGTATCGTCGCTCACCCACAGCGATGCTCTTCTGGAACGGACGTAGAGATCCGTCACGGAAGCGTAGCGGTTAAATATGGCGGGAATGTGCGGGATGACGTCAGCTCCGACTCCGACGCTGACGTTGACAGTGAGCTTGTGGTGGCTGAGGAATTCCACGTCGTACCATCTCCGACAGACAAGGGAGCTGTTTTTGCGGTCGTTGGATCCCAGGAATTGAAAAATTACGGCTAAGCATTCGTCGGGAATCGCGTCGCAGTAATTCTCTTTGTCGGATTCCATAATCAGTTTGAAAAACTATACGTTGGGTATTAAGAGGAATAAGAGATTTAATGATTGTTGCAATAGAGAATGAGTACAACAAAATGTTCTGAACACTATTTATAGATTTCAATTATCCTTATCCCATCTTAAAAAAGAAAAAAGTCCCGCAATACTTACCATATTACAATTGAAGAATGATTTACAAAGAGGAAAAAAGTCCCACAAATAATTACCATATTATAATCAAGAAACGACTTACAAAATATATACTACAAAATATCTTTACAATAAATGATTACGTATATAACTTAGGGGGAAGAAGTGCCGTTTTCCCTAATAATAATAATAATAATAATAATAATAATAATAATAATAAAAGAAGTAAATCCAAATTTCTTGATGCCTGCTCCGCCGTTCAGATCTCATTCTTACTGGTATCGAACCTTAAATTTTTTATTTGATTTCTTTATAGCTTGTTTTCTACATTGCACTTTTGTTGTTTGTCGCAATTGTTCTTTACCTCACAATTATATCTAACTTGAGTCATATTTACAATACTCAGTATTTTCCTTAGTTTCATGTTTTTCTATAAATTTAATGTGTTTTACAGTCCTTCTAATTTTGATTTCCAGTGCACTATAATTATTTTCTAGTACTGGAATATATTTCAAGTGCACTAGCAATGACAGATTGTGTCCAACAATTAACTATATAGTAATTGACACTTGTTCTTTTAATATCAACTATACAGATAGATGATTATTCATCTTATCAATAAAAATATTCCAACTGAACCAACTGACGAGTCGGTTGTGCAAAAACGTTAATTGATGTTTGGTAATTAGTACTTAGTATTGTGTTTGAACTTTGGATTGCTATTTTGTTATATAATGTTTAGATTTTGAATTTGGATAATGTGAATATGTATTGTTTGGTAGTATGTTCGAAAAATTAGGAAATGTTGAAATTTGGGGATCTTAAACCGAACCGAACACCAAACACCGAACCGAATTAAATCCGAACCGAAATCGAACCGTTTCAAACCGAACCTTAATATTAAACCGAATGGTTTAACTTTTTTAAAACCGAAAAACCGAAACCGAAACCGAAAAAAATCGAACCGAAACTCGAAACGCCCACCCCTAGTTGATACTCTTAATTGCATTCATTGATTATTTTGGATTAATCCTTGGCATTAAACCCTAGTATCATTAGGTGAGAAACCCAACAATATATAATACAGAGTATCTCTATCCAATTTTGCATGTCATATATACTGATCACAAATTCTAGTAATATCTTTATTCACGTATTTTATTTCACATTTATTTTTATCATTTTCAAATTTTATGTTGATGGGGACATGTTGGGTGTATATAACAATCACCGATTATTTTTAATCCCAATAGTGCGCCTCCCAACCTAGAAGGTCAAGAAGTAGACCTTACTCATACAGAAAAGTAGCAAGTGAATATTAACTCATCGTAACGGTCACACTTATTTGAGTATTTTCAACACCAACATGTGGCATGACCAATTTAACTAATTGATAGGCGAATGCCACATGCCCTTTGTCAAACGAGATCTCGTCATGTGCTATATGGTCCAACACTATAAAAGTCAAATTGATTTACAAAAAAGGAGACTTTCTCTTGAAAAAGATCATTAGTACTTCTCAATTGGTCAAGAACTTTCTAACATCTTAAACTCCATTTTACGGAGTATTCAATATCATACATTGAAACATAACATAACAATACCAAATAATTAACATTATCATATGTTTTCTTTTTAATAATATTTTTGTGTAATTTATAAACACATATATAAACTAAACACATATATTTTATATACTAACACAAAAATGACAAAACTAAGTATTACAAATATTTCAATGTATTCAATATCATACATTGAAACATAACATAACAATACCAAATAATTAACATTATCATATGTTTTCTTTTTAATAATATATTTGTGTAATTTATAAACACATATTAAAATAAACACATATATTTTATATACTAACACAAAAATGACAAAACTAAGTATTACAAATATTTTAATTATTTATATAAAGAGTATTTTAGATAATGAAATTATAAATTTATTAGATAAGAGAATTCTGAATAGACATTCAAAATAACGGCAAATTATTATATGAAATATGGTCCGTACAGTAGTGTATGAACCATACAAAAAATATATTTTTAATATACTAAAAGTATATTATTTGTGTAATGAATGTATATTATTTGATAATATAAAAAATAATATGCTTTCGATACTTAAATAATATACTCTTAAATAATGTATTTTATATATACAAATTATATATTTTTTATTTGTGATCCATCCAATAATGACTCCCAAACAACGAGGACAATTTTGACAATTTTATCTTCACAAAAATTTATCCAAAAGAAAAGTTGGACTGGACCATATTACCTATTTAGTTTGGGCTAGTTGTCGTTTTGTCCCTAGTAAACCTTAGCACAATACTGTATAGGTGGCAAGTTAAAGATGAATCACGTATAAATATTAAATTTTATTAAATTAAAAATTTATTTTTAATATATTATTAATTTATTTTAGGTAATAACTTAAAAAATAAATATATAATAAATTATAAATAAATTTTCAGAAATAAATTTATAATACACTAAAAATAACCTTTAATATATTAAAAATATTAAAAAATAAACGGTATATAGCGATCTATTGTATAAATGATTGTGTATATGCAGTAAAAAACATCACTGCATGGAATTCGATATTTTGATATTTTATTGCAGGAAAATGATGCAACTAAAGACATGCCCAGGCAAATCAAAGAGAACAAATGGGCCCATAATATTCCTTGGGCCCATTATCGTAATATTTTTAAAAATATCTTAATAATAATTCCTTTATGTAATAATGTAGAAAGATACATTTGCGATTGTTTTATTTTAAAGAAAATTTTCCTTCTAGTTTCTATCATTGTGATAGTGTTATATTTTATTTGAACTCTTCTAATTTTATCTCATTATGTCATTGATTTTTATTTATTGGTTATAAATAATCATTCTACCTTTAAGAAAAGATTAATACAGACATACAGTATATAATTTCGTAATTCAAACATCTTGCTTAGACATTTAATTTCTCAAATTCTTTTGTAAATAAAGATGAATTTATATTTTAATCATTTTTAAATTGTACAAATTATTAGATAATGACTCTGAGTTTATTTTGTTAAAAAAAAATAGAATTTCTTTTTTTTTTTGGGGGGGTCCGGGCGGGGAACCAACCTTCCAAGTAACGCCTAAACCATTGCGTTGTCTGTTTCACAAGTAGCCAAATAATGATAACTGTCACACCGACTACGACGTTACACTCTGCTCAATCTATCACTCCCAGGCCACTCTCAAATCTCAAAGGTTGTTTTTGCAGATGGAGAGACAGTTGCAGAGTTCAATGTTTTAACGCCAACACAGATCTTCACCTGCGAGCTGAGGAAGGAAGCCAACGGTTTTCTTAACTTATCCGAACCAACGCAGTGTGGATTCCAGCTGGATTCCGGATATTCTTCGAATCTCCGATCACTTCTCCGTTCTAGGCCAGAGAACCGACGACTCTGCAAAATTTTCGGCAGCTCTGTTTAGGTATGTAATGTGATCTGAACTCCTTTTTTTTTTTTTTTTTTGTCGCGTCTTCCTTTCTCTCCCGGACGCAGCCGGCGATGACGTGCGGGCTGCGGCGTTTGGTTGGAGAAGACGGCGGCAGGGGCGGTGGTTACCTTGATTTTTTCTTTCAGACTTTGTGGTTTTACTGTAGAGTTTTGACTACTAGCTTCCAGTTAACTTGCTATTGACGGCAATACTTATTACGCCAACTAATTCATAGAAAACAACTTTTATTTATTTATTTTACTTTTTTCTTTTATCATCATAATAACTGTAATTATTCGTTATTGGTTGGCCGGGCTAGAAATTGTATATACTGGACCAAAAATTAAATAACTTCAAAATGCCATAGAAATGAAAATATAAATATATATTTTAAGTGCGTTAAGAATTGTTTGATTTTGAATCTTTTTAGAAAGAGTGATCCTCATATATAATGAATATTGTATTTAATCATATATATATATGTGTGCGCGCACGCTAGAGCACCCTTATTAGTGTATATTGGAGGATTTTGGAACAGTTGGTTGACAAATTGATCAGAAAAGAAATTGATTGGAGGATTTTGGAACAGTTGGTTGACAAATTGATCAGAAAAGAAATTGATTCATTTGTAAGCTTGAGTTTTTAGAACATGACTTGAAGTGCCGCAATGTCAAATTGGAGACTGTGCGCGTTTGGCACACAACAAATGCCCACACGGACGAGTGCAATACACGCGTCCGGTGGCGCGTCAAGCGCACCTGACAGTCTATTTTTATCATTATTTAAAAAAAAATCATTTTTTTCTCTCATTTTTCATATTCTTTTTTCTAATCACACTTACAAGAACTCCTAAGAAACTAAAAATATTAAAATTCACTATTATGGATGCTTTTATTGGTGAAGTAAATGAGATTGTTAGTAAAAGTTTTGACTGTAGGATCATTTATAAAATATCGACTTTTACTAAAAAATTCATATATGAGTGAGTTAATACAAGTTCATGTTATGAATTAAATTAATAGTAAAAATATAGATTATATTATAAATAAGAGGAGATTGCGATATTTTTACTATTTACTTCTTTTAATTATTATTAATGAAATATTAGATATCAAATTAGGCCTTGTTTGTCAATCTGCGATTAGCAAATATCGAATTATATTAGCGGGTTTGATCAACAAATGGTATTAATGATTTTTAAAAGATTCTAGCGGTTTGGAGATATCCACTACTCCAACCGGCTGGTTTACCAAACAATCAACAACCAATTGGAGATATAACTTGAATGTCTTGTTATTGATTATCTAATTATTTAGCAACATTTAAATGTCATTTAATGCTATTCATGATGATATTGCAATAGGCACAATAAGTCAAGCACATATACAAAATCTTTAACGCATGTTTGCGTATATATATAGTGCATTTTATAAATAAGAGTTTTTTTTTTTTTTTTTTTAAATATAGGATCTGATTTGACTTTCACCACTTGTATGTATTTCTTTTACTTTCAAACCTTGTATCTATAGCTTTCTTAATAAATAATCATAATTGTTAAAACATCAAATTAACAATATTTAATAGAAAAGTGGAGCTAGTGATTTTGAAACAAGTCCACCTTTGAATTGATGATTTTGAAACAAGTGCACCTTTGAATTGATGATTTCAAAAACTAATGTTTTTTTTTTCTTTTTTTTTTTTTCTGTCCGATACTAAAACCCAGACATCCTCGTTTTCCCCATTTTCTTATCCAGTCCGAAAATGGCGTTCACACTTGGGGTTCCTGCTTCTCCTCAGATCAACTTCGACGACTACGAGGTAACTATGAATTAACTAAATTAACCGTCACTTTCAGGCGCTAATATAGTCGGTAATAATCTTGTTAGTCTTCATGATCACAGGATGACCGGATGGCTGGATTTGAATTTGTGGTTCGCCTGTTCGTTTACATCTCTGTTCTTGGTCGGTTAGTCTCTTGAGTGCCTGCGTATATGTTTTCCGGTGCCTCTGTAAATGTTTTTTCTGACTGAAACTTTATGTGGGCTTCAGTGATATTCGTGATGGTGGTAGCGCTTATAGTCAAACTAATTGGCTGCTTCGAGGATGACGACGCGGCGGTGCCGGCCGGAGACGGGGAGATTAATTCGACGGAGACTAGCCTGCTGCTGCCGAAGGAGGCGGCTCCGGCGGTCATTTACGGAGCGTGTGAGGAGGAGGACGACGACGTGGAGTCCGGGAATTGCAGCCGGAGCAGTTCGTCGGAGGACTTCTACGACGGAAAGATCTGCGTCATTTGCTACGACCGTAAACGGTGCTGTTTCTTTATTCCTTGCGGTCACTGCGCCACTTGTTACCAATGCGCTAAGAGGTAAGTTTCAACCACTAACTTGTAAGTCCAACTATTAGTTTAGAACTAGCCAGCATGGGCAGCTAACTGGTCATAGAGGTGAAAGTTCGAAAGAATGATCATGGATTGAGTTTCACCAACAGCAGTGTAAGGGGTTCTTTGTGCACAATAAGCAAAGGTCTAGCCTCTGTGGTGTTGAGATACCATGATTTACATCCTCCTAGATGTTCTGTCTGTGCGGATGGTGGGGCCCTTATGGTTGGGGTTTAACCTTTTGAAAAGAACTATTAGTTTAAAACTGTGACAGACACAATCCGAGAATTACACTTAATATGGTGAGTTCCTTGTAACAGCAGACACTTCCTTCTAACCAATAAACCGCTTAGTTGTCGCGATTTAACCCTTTACTATTCTATAAGTCCAAGGTAAGGGGTCTTGGGATGAAGGAATTTCGCCTTTTGTAGGCAATGACAAGTTTAGAATTATGATAAAATTTGTGCAATGAGTTTGAATTATTGATTTGTGGACGCAGGATTAGTGAAGGGGAAGGGAAGATTTGTCCGTTTTGCCGAACGAGTATTCAGAGGATAAGAAGATTGTTTACTCCATGAAACCATCAATGTGGCAGCTAGCTAGCTAGCTGCAATTGTAATATAGTATGGGCATTTTGTTTGTATATTTTACTTAAAGAGAAATATGGCATGTAGGCAAGCAGTGTATGCTCCATTCTGGGAATTTTGTTCTTTAGACAAATCGAGCCCGTGACCTTAAACTTAAAAGTACAAATTCACATTTACAATCAATCTCTGTCATGTTCCAGATACAAATCAAAAAAATTCCCAGGCAAACAGAGAATGGTTTCTAGGACCATGTCCGGGTGTCTCGTAGGAATTGGCAATCATTTGCAGAAGACTCTAAACGCTCCTAAGTTGTCTGTGGCTTTTGGATGAATTCAGGGTAAAAGTCAGTGCATGCAGTAAAAAAGGGTTGCAGAATTGAAGTAAAACGAGCACATAGGATTATAAAGAATCTGGGGACAATTGTAATTATAAACGAAGCATAATAACCCATAATGTCAGGAAAGTCGGTCATTTATTGCAACCAATTCCACTTACCCATCCATAAAAACCGGATTGACGGCATTGTTCAACTTAACTCACTATAGAAAAAGATAAGTATTTTGTCTTCACACTTCAATACGATATGATTGTGACTTGTGAGGAGAGTTCAACTTAACCTTAACATAACATGTCCGTAACCATTAAGTTCTTAAGTTCAAACTTGAATGATTTTATAACTATTCAAACTCATATCTAAATTGACTAATTTTGTCCCGAAATATACTTTAATTGATCAACGAATTTTAAATAAATTAAAAATTTTTGTTTTGCTAATAATTAACTATAGAATTCGGGTAACTAAACACAATATAAAATGTTGAAAAAAAAATGTTGGAATAGTTTATATATATAATATGTGGAGATTATGGAACTGGACATTTATTGATGTTTGAAAAAAAAAAAACTTCGTATTCTATGCTTTTGATACCATGTGGAGATTATGGAACTGAATATTTATTGATGTTAATAATACAACCAGCTATAAATAAAAGATCATAGTAGGAAGTTGTAACAACTATTCTACAGGAGCATAACTTGAACAAATACAGAAATAGAATATGTCAGCCACATATATCCTTAACATAATCATGAGTTGGGAGGGGTGCTTCTCAAAACAACTATACAAGCGATCCCCACATATGCTATGGTTGTTTTCCTGCTTCCGCAGGGGTTATGCAACGCAATTGAGGTTGATATGAATGGTTTAGGAAGATGTGTGAGTTCAATGTCGCAATGCTTGGAATTTTTTGACACAGTACAACCAAATGCTTATGTGTAGCAGAGTCTGATGGAAGCTTAAGGTGTGCATCCGTTTATTCAAACGCCGTAGCCGGCGGAGTTGGAGAAAGCTTGTGTGAGTTCTTTGATGTGTGAGTTCAATGTCGATGGATCTCAAATTTTGATTATTAAAAGTTGAAGTTAACTCATTATATATATATATATATATATATATATATATATATATATATATATATATATATATATATATATATATATATATATATTCAAAATCCCATATTTGATATCTGACTTATATTCTAAGAACATCTCTAACCCAAAACACCAAATTCTGCACCAAATTTTATATCAAAAGAAATATTCTCAGCATATTCTTACACCAATTTTTTTTCATCTCCAACCTATTTACACCAAATTTTATTCCTACATTAAAATAATTTATATTCTCATAAATTAAAAGTTTATATTTATACTTTTATTATATTAATATAACCTATAGTTGTAATTTAATATAATTTAATAAATTAAATTTTAATTATGTTTTAGGTAATTTTATTTTTAATTAAATTATATTCAATATTAGTCTTGTTTTAATCATCTTGATGAGATCTTTCAAATGATATATATTTTTTAAATAATATACAATTTATGTTTAAATATTTAACAAAAGATGTAAATATATAAAAACCAAAAAAGATACAAAAGGAATTATAAAAGAAGATAAAGGGCAAAATAGGAAAAAAAAAAAATACCCCAAGAAATGATGTTCATCAACACCAAATTATTTGGTGTTTTGCCGTTCCATTGGAGCTCAGTTTTTGCCGTTTTACGCCAAATTTTTTGGCGATTTGGTGAGATAGCGTTGGGTTGGAGATGGTCTAAGTATAGACTCAATTATTCAAAATCGCCAGTAAATAAATATTTAAATATGTCAATGACCTTGTGGTCTAGCGACATCAAGTTACTTTCCCATATACGAAGTTGTGGATTTGAGCCTCAATAGGTATTGACTCTTTGTGCTTTAGTGGATTGAGAAAGTAGCTATTAACAGATACCGCATTGTAACAGAGTCAGTAGTATTAAAAACAAAAAAAAAAAAAAAACTCATGATGTCTCTCAAAAATTAAATATGTCATTTTTCCTAACCAGCTTGGTTGGCGTGAACCCCTTTCGTATGAAAAAATTAATCTGGTCAGTACTTTGCTTCTTAATAAGGCCGAGACGATGCGAACAGAGAGGGGCCGATGCGAACAGAGAGAGTACGGGTTTAAATGTACCTTTCATAGTTAAAGACTTGGACATTTTGTGATCTGACAAAAAAAATATGTCATTTTCCCTTAAAAAAATTTTGATTTCCATTTATATTTTCATTATACAATTTTTCACTATTTGAAATTTTCACATTAAAAAACAAACCCCACCCCAATCGTTATGCTATGGACTCGTGTCCAGCATGCATTGTGGACACGGTAACGGTGCCGTTAGTGGCACCGTTATCTTCCACTTTTTTTTTTTTTTTTTTAAATTTCAGAATGCTTCGTTATAGGAGTATATGTTCATAATTTTATCACTATATGTTCATAATTGTAAGTTTATAATGTCAGAGCTCTGTGTTCATAATTCCATAACTGTACACTCATACTTCCATAACTGTACATTCATAATTCAATAACTGTAAATTCATAATTTTCAAAACTATATGTTCACAATTTTAGAGCCCTATGTTCATAATTTTATCACTATATGTTCATATTGTAAGTTCATAATGTCAGAGATCTGTGTTCATAATTCCATAACTGTACATTCATAATTCTATAACTGTACATTCATAATTCTATAATCGTATATTCATAATTCCCTAACTGTACATTCATAATTTCATAATTGTACATTCATAATTTTCGAAACTCTATGTTCACAATTTTAGAGCTTTATGTTCACATTGTGGACATGGTAACAGCGTTAACTACGAGACAAAATTAATTTTTTTTTTAAAAAAATGAAATGTTCCATTTTTCTTAAAAACGGCATCGTTTTGGACTCGTGTCCACAATCCACAATGCATTGTGGACACGAGTCCCCCGATAAAAAAACGACCAACCAAATAGAACTTTTGAGTTTTGGGCCACCCAATTTTTAATAAAAGCCCAATTCTCTGATTGAATGGCAAAAGAGCTTTTATCTTTATACACTTTATACGTTTATATAGTTGCACCCTCTTCTCCCCTTCTTAGTTTGACATTTTCATCTTCTTGGCAACTTTTTTAGGAATACACAATGTGACGAGTTTGATTGAGATAAATGATTCCATTTAATCGTATATAATTTATATTTTATAAGATATGACTAATCTAATTAAATTTCATTCCAGATCATTCCTAACCCTTGTCTTAAATGACTTAACCCTTTCATTTAAATCAATATTTCTTTTAGTTTTCTAATACGAAGTAACACCTAACGTTAATAATATTTAATTTCACTTAAACACTACTCCAATGGCTGCCATTTTCATGCCTTTTTATTGTTATACTGAGGTGTTTGGTAAATAACTGTTAGCTGATTAGGTTAGTGAGTTTGATTGTAAAAAGAATTTGGTAAATTAGCTGTTAACTGATTACATACAAAATGACTTTCTCAAAAAATTAATCGAAAAAAACTACTTTGTTTTTAATTTTAACATTTTAAAGCAATAAGTTGTTACAAAAAGCTAATTAATCAAACACTCATATTAATTGTTTAACAAGTCAAATAGCTAATAGTGATCAAATAAGTCAAAATTGATTGATACTAAACAGAGCAACTATCTAAAAATTGACATAACTTATCATCAAATCACATTAAAAATTCTACAATTAGAACCTGCTCAGAACACCTCATGTCTGACAAAAAAAAATTACATTAAAAATCTGGCTTTTTGAATGGATCTGGAGTATGGATCCGATAATTTAAAAATACCTATGAAAAAAGTATATCTTTTTATTAATGACAGAATTACAGATCATAACAGGCGACAGCAACAGTGGGCATCCTGCGCTTCTATCGACTGGATCGAGCAGCCCAGATGACAACACCATACGTACTACTGAGTACTGATCCAAACAGAATAAATTCGTAAAAACAAATCCACAAAATAAATAAATAAATGGCAACATGTTTGGTAGGAGAAATCTGATATCTATATATATTTTCTTTAACATTCATGCCAAACAGCTAGCTTAGCAGGATTATAAAATATTCTCCAAGAGGATTACAGAAATCTGATTAAAAAGAACGCAGCCTCCCCCCACGGCCACGGCTAGATTTGAAATCCAAAGTCCAAAACGAAAATGAAAATGATTTTCATGGAAAAGAGAGACAAAATATGGGGAAAAGAGAGCGACAGGCAAGCGTGAAAGTGAAACCAATCTCAAATAAAATCCCTCCCTTTTCTTCTTCACTTCTCTTCTGCTACTCCACTCCACACTCTTCCCTGTCAACTTCCTTCCACCATTGTAGAGAGAGAGAGAGAGAAACAGCCACTTGCCCCGCCGGATATAATGACGGTTCAGGGGTTGTGGATTTCCATCTTTTCTTGAAGATAATGAGCAGAGGCTTTGGTGTCTTCTTCTAAGAAGAAGAACCAACGACGAGGAGATGTTTCCCCTTACCCATTCGCAGAAAGATCAAGCATTTGAGTCCCAAGACCCAATCTTTTCCCCTGATGGTCTCTTCTGCGAGGAGGAGAGGTTTGAGCCTAACGATTATGCTGAGATAAGTGTGTTGAAAAAGCCTTTAACTTTCTTGGAATCTGACCTTTTCTGGGAAGATGATGAGCTTCTGGCTTTGTTATCTAAGGAAAAAGAGATCGGTTTGGGGTCCGGGTGTGTTGATCTGGACGAGTCTTTAATGTTGGCTAGAAATGAAGCAGTGGATTGGATGTTGAAGGTGATTAGGCACT